GCAGTTGTACTAATCTCAAACACAGAGGGCAAATTAAAAATGTGCACAAGACAAAGAAGAATAAAGTGTATCAACACTATTTTTCAACACACACACACACACACACACACACACACAAAAACGTCCAGAGGACCTGACTGAGCTTAGTTGGAAGAAGAAAGTGTGTTTTATGGAAAAGTAGATACTTTAAATAAGTATTGATGCAAATACTTGTTTCACAGTGGCCAATAATCAGCGCTTAATTTGTAAACCAAACAATGCCGGAATGCAAACAACGGGAGTGGGGTGGTGGTGGTGGTGGTGATGGTGGTGGTGGTGTGTGTGTGTGTGTGTGTGTGTGTGTGGGGGGGGGGGGGTCAAATTGCTGCCATTGTTTTGATAGGTAATGTACGTAACGTACCATCAAACATTTCTCTCGTATTTTTAATGTTAAAAAAATCAAAATTTTATTAATGACCCACTTAAACTGTAAAACTGATATGCAAATTAGTTGTGCAGTTTAATTATAGTTTTGTGATTTTTATTGAACTACCCATAACTGTATTGTTAGAGGCGGATATTTTTTTTAAGGGTAAATGTGGAAGTGCTTACTTGAAATGGCAGCTCGTACGGGATATTACAATGCTCAGAAATGGCTGTTGTGTTTAAAATGAGTGTTTATGTAATTATTTTCAGTTTACATATCCAACATAGGTTGTATTCATTAAACCAGCCAAATTTCTTCATGACTTTATTATTAGTAAGCCTGAGAGTTACTGGGTCCAAGCAAACAGTTTCTGGAACGCATCCTGTCAAAATAAGAGAGTTCCCGGATCCTGTTCTGGCAGGATCCGGCTCAAATTAAGCCCTGCCTACGAGGCCCAGCTTGTGTGTAAAGAATTGAACTTGTTTTAGGAAAGCAACTTGTTTTGCAGAGAATAGAACAGATACAGGTATTTTGTTTGTGCTGCTAAGAACATGGAAGACGTTTACAGGATGAATCTTGTTCTATTTAAAGAAAGAAAACATTAAATACTCACTCTTGGGCCAATCAAACCAAGCTCCCCAACGATGCCAGCTGGACCAACAGAACCCTGATGAACAGAAAAAACTAAATGACAATCGCGATGATGTTGATTTCATTATGATACATTTTATTGCATTTGAGAGAAATAGATTGTGATTTATTCTGATTATCTATTTGATTGTAACATAACTCTTTGCAACACACACAGGCATCGTAAGGTGCACAGACCACATCTGGACCATTAGCAGAGATGGCCCGTGGCGAAGTCAATGAAAAACCGTAAATAAGTTTAAAAAAAGTTAAAATCACTGCTTTTATTTTGAAGGCTAGTGGCTGTTTCCTTTAGCTGCTGTGCACGTTTAAGTGGAGTCTCCTCTGTCCCTGGAATTTGTGAGAGATTAGGGCCGAATGTGTTATTTTTATCAACATGTGGATTTTTAAGCATTTATTTACCAAATTTACCACAAAGCATTGAGCTTAATTTGTGGAGAACAGCATGTGGTTTATAAAGTGTCTGTGGCATGCATTTCCCACAAATACAAAATTTGGAAGAAGACATCATAATTTGACATAACGCACATCATTTTAGGATAAAAACATAATAGAAACCCATTTTGTTACATATAAACATATTTTTGTCTAGAACTGTGCGCAGCCACAGTACAACGAGGTGGATGACAAAAAGGTTCAGCTTCGCCTTCGGTTGCTTGTCGGCTGTGCCAGAGGCTCAAACATATGAGGGGCGGTGACCAAAACTGGTGCTGCCACATGATGATAGCTGACTTTCTTCTTCTGACCATTCTTTGTCTCTCTCTGACGTTTTTGTTGTTGTTTTTCTTTCAGCTGCTTCCTTCTGCCGGGGCCGTCACAGCGAGGGAACATGTATGAAGGATTTGGCAATTGTTTTAAGCCAGATGCCCTTTTTGATGCAACCTGAGCTAAAACTTGCAGCCTGATGATTACAAGACGCAGCACTGACAGAACGAGCAATACAGCTCCGTCTCTCTGATAGTAAGTTTTTAAAAATTAAGAGAAACATCAGAAGACAGGGTGAAGGAGAGCCCTCTTACTTAGATGAAAACATAATTGGATTTATGATAACGGGATTCTGCTTTTTGGAGTTGGTGGAAATCTGGATTACAGACAAATTTGGAAACGTCAGCAGCTGTTTAAGCTGTCTGGGATGTGTGTGCTGGGCTTGGCAACACTCAAGACTCTGTGCGAACTATCGGTAGACCTGTATCAGAGCCAAGCAGGCAGGACTGTGGACCTTTCTGGCAGTGTTCACAGACTGTTGGAAGGAATCGATCTTGGAGAAGTCTGACTTTGGCATAAGTAATCACAATTCGGCTGTTTGGTGTCACCAGGAAATGTACTTGCAAGACTGTAAAGGCAGACGCGGAAATTAACGAGCTCGGCCTGACCCAAAACAATGTTGAAATCTGAATCTGGCTTTGGAAGGCTGACCATTTCAATTTCTCCTTGGATGTTATGGAAACAAGACACTTTGCTGTGGTGTGGACCTGTGTCAGAGCTCAAGAGGGCTGGCTGATAACAAACACCTCTTATCAGGACTATGGCTTTTTTTTTTGGGGGGGGGGGGGCGCTTGGGACTGTGCTGTGCTATGACTTCACCTGACGGCCATGCTGGGACCCCCTTCCTCTACCCACTCCACACACATATATATTATGTCCATTTATGTTGCTTTTTTCAGTGCTGAGGTAGTTTTTTGCCATCTTACACCGTATCCTGTGTGTCAAGGACACAGTGTGAGAGATTCTTTTTATACGTCCTTCCTTTCCTCCCGTTTTTCCACTTTCCTTATCTAATGAAAAAGGTGGCACTGCTCTCTGCGGCTGCAGCCTCAGACATCTTGTCTCCTCCATGTCTGTTGTTTTCTTTTTTTGACAGGATGTACTAAAATAAAATTTCCCTTTGGGATCAATAAAGTATATTGATTGATTGATTGAGATTCTTCACTACTGTCTGTGTTAGCCACTGTAGCAAAGCTCTGTTTACACGCATCACTTCCTTTTACTGTGCAAGCTCCTTGTCAGTGGCATTTGTGGCCGTAAATCGCAACAACTCTTCATCTCAGTGGCGTGAGAGCGGCTTTTTATACGCCCATCGAAAGGCAGATTTATTATGATACAGTCTCTCTCTCTCTGTAAAGTTTTTCTTGTCCTGCTCATAACTTCTGATCTGCTTAACATTATTTAATGAAACTAATACACATGTGCATCATCTCTAGATGGAGTGATGCATACACTTTTCATCACCCCTGCTTCAAGGTCAAGATCTCAAATCAAGGTCAAAAGTTAAACAAGGTATTTGCTTGTCCGAGCAATAGATGGCTGTATTGCTGTATAACAGTTTGTTGATGGTCATATAACGTGCCGTAGTGTTGTTTTTTTGTTAATTTTGCAATATGCCATCAATGTTTTCTTTACAATAATGTCCTGGTATTTATCATGAAAATTCATTGTGAAAGGCACTTTAAGGTTTATGAATTAAATCAGATTAAACGTACATAGAAATACAAAGCAGATACTTCCGAAGCTCCTTTGTTCAAACTGTAAAAAGCAACAAGGCCTTTTTGCCAAGAGTGCTGACTCAGCATTCACAAAGAAATTTGAGAAATCCAACAAAGTTCATTCAGGTCATCTGGACGGTTTCTTTTTCTTTTTTTTTGTTGAGACGTTTCGTCCTTCATCCTAAGGACTTCATCAGTCTGAGGAGCCACAAGCAAACAGAGTCCCACAAACGGCGCACTCCCATGGTGGACCAACCAGTTTTACGGTGATAAGATGGTTTCTGGGGCCCACCCTCTCCCCGTCGATTCCTCTGAGACAGCCATAGTACTATGTCAAAGTTCACTCTCAATAATCCAGGTTAAAAAAAAATCCAAAAAAAATTCAGTCAAGTCCTGTGGATGGTTTCTTTCTTTGTTTTTTTTGCTGCTTGTGGAACTCAGTTTATTTGTGGCTCCTCGGATTGATGAAGTCCTTTGGATGAAGGATGAAACGTCTCAACAACATAAAAGAAACCATCCAGAGGACCTGACTGAAATTTGTTGGATTATTTACCTGGATTATTGAGCATGAACTTTGATCATTTGAGGAATGTTCTTTATTGAGAATGTATTTATGTGCTTGTATTGCGTCCAAATGTCATTCAGTTTCCTAGAGAAGAAATAAAACCCAGTATGGGCTTTAACTGTAGCTGAAGGTTACATTTTTCATGTAACATCCTCTTTACCTTTTCTCCAGGTTCACCAGGCGGTCCGCTCTCTCCATCTTTACCAGGGGGTCCCTGTCAGAAACAGTGACAGACTTTATTTTGTGCTGATACCAAGCTCAGCGTGTGCTCTAACAGGAGTTGTGTGATCAACTCACCACCTGCCCCATCGCCCCCAATGGCCCTGTCCCTCCTGCTGGCCCTGATGGTCCCTGCAGCAGCAGAGCAGCAGCATCAATAAGAGTTTGAAGCATTTTGTTTTTGTCTTGGATCAACACCAAGTGGCAGTAAAAAAAAGAAAAATGTGAACAAGTGATAAGCACTGAGCAGAAAGTGTGGATTTGTTGAGATAGTTTAATCTGAAGGGCTAAGAGTCTTCCAACCAATGAGCCAAAGCTTCTGAAAGTGATTCAAACTGACCCGCTGTTGTTAAGACATAGTCAGACTACAATGAAGCTGCTTCTACAGGAAGGAAATGGTGCAAATCAAATTAGCTGCTCGTGTCCAGGAGTCTTGGACAGTCACAGAGAAAAACGGTTAGACTGCTCCGGGCTTTTCCAACTGGATAAAGGTTTCTAAGAAAAGTTGAAGACTGACTATTTAAAATACATTTTATGTATGAGCAATTTAATGGGTAAAAATGAGTCGTATTTTAGTCTTTTCAGAGAACAATCAATCTCAATATTTACACTATAAGTACCTAAAAAAAAAAGCTAATGGTACAAAAACCAAAGGTGACTCGCAGGACTTAATTTGTAAACCAATCGATGCCGGAATGCAAATAGGGGGGGGGGGGGCGAAGGGTGTGGCTCTGGAGGGTGGGGTGGTGCTGCAGGGGGCTCTGTGGGTCCACCCCCAGAAAATTTTGAATGAAGTAGATGCCATTTTCTGCATTCTGGTGGATTTTAACGGGCCGTTAAACATCTTAGTTTATCCATCCATCCATCCATTATCTTTACCTGCTTATTCCATTTTGGGTCACGGGGGTCGCTGGTGCCCATGTCCAGCAATCACTGTGCGAGGGGCGGGGTACACCCTGGATGGGTCGCAAGTCCATCACAGGGACACATAGAGACAAACGAGACAACCATTCACTTTCTCACTCACACCTAGGGACAATTTAGAATTACCAATCAGCCCAACATGCATGTTTTTGGTCTGTGGGAGGAAACCGGAGCACCCGGAGAAAACCCACGCATGCACGGAGAGAACATGCAAACTCCACCCAGAAAGGCCCCTGGACCGGGGTTTGAACCAGGGACCTGCTCACTGAGAGGCAGCAGCTCTACCAGTTGCGCCACCGTGCTGCCCCATCTTAATTTATCTACATTTGTAAACACTTTATTCAATAACTATTAGAGAGCAACAACAGCTCTCTCCTTGTGCATGAATAGAGCAGCTCCGCTTCTGTCAAGCATCCTAACCCCTGCCCCCCTCCCCTCACTTCACGGTTCTGAACCCAACTCTTCTCCGCTGAATTCAGTCCTGCGCGTTGTTGCTCCTGCTCCATTTTTTTATGAAAGTAAATTGGACTGTCTACTCGACATTTTGATTGCTGTTATTCTGACAAACTGTGCCGTTGTTTTGATACGTGATTAATGCGAATAATGCACATCAAACATTTTATCGTTGTAATTTTAATAAATAATCAAAATTTGATTAATAAGCCACTTAAACTGTCAAACTGATTTGCAATTTAGTTGTGCTGTTTAATTATGTTTTTAAATTTTTTTATAAAAATGCACTATGACTTTGGACTTTTAGGGGCGGAGTTACCAGATCCAAGTAAACGGTTTCCGAAACGCACCCTGTCAAAATAAGAGTTCCTGGATCTTGCTCCTGCAGGATCCGGCTCAAATTAAACACTGGTGACTCGTGATCAAAAGGGGGGCACTACCAAACAAATAAACTTACGGTTTCTCCAGCAATTCCTTTGGCTCCTGGAGGTCCTGAGGGGCCCTGAACACCCTGAAAATAACACATGCAGTTTGTATTCATGTTAAAATATTCACAGCAACAAGAGGAAAAAATGTGCTTAAAACAATTCTTTCTTATTCATTGCTTTTGTCTGAAAGGTTTACTCATCAAAAAAAAAACAGTTAGTCCCAGCACTTACTGGAAATCCTGTAGACCCAGCTTCACCCGGCTCACCAAATTTTCCCTTTAGACAAAACAACACGAGAGGAAAAGAAAGTTAATGAGGCACATTTGAGAGAATTCTGTCAGTACGCCACCAGGACTCTGATCCAATCCGTTTGTAGTTACTTAGATTGTACATAATTAATAAACTGACTCGTCCATGTAGTAGAGGAGCAGAGAAAATTAAAGGCCTGCCACCAGGATCATAACGATGAGAAACTGGAGAACTTTGGTCAAACCCCCGAAGTTATGAAGGAACTTGTGCGACATTAAGAGATTTTGTGAAACGTGTTCACACTCAGAGATTGTGTTGAAGATGACTCTCAGCCACTACCACATCAAATTTAGTACAAAGTGTGTAGGCGAGAACCACAAGGTTGTGGCGGCCATCTTATTGGGTTGTAAGTGTACATTGTTCTCTGTATTTTGATTTTTTATTAAGTATTATTCTTATCATCTGTCAATCATTTTAACTAACCAGGCAGTCGTATATCAAACCTACTGTAGCTCAACTGAAAATATTTTAATTATTTTTTTTTAAACAAAGCAGCATTCTCCATCTCAACGACACCTACTAATTCAGAAATATGTGATACATTCCCTGTTTGATTATTTAAAAAAGCTTTTAATTTGGTGAGGTTTTTTTTTTATCCTAATTTAAGAATCCCACCAAATCATTGCAACTTCTTCAGCTTCCCAAGACCTAATGACAAATAACAAAAACTAATTACACTTATTAATTTAGAAGACCATCAATCACATGTAGTCCCTCGTTTATCGCTGGGGAGCCGTACCCTGAAGCCCCGTGATAAGTGAAAGACCGTGAAGTAGGAATAGTAGTACAAGTAGTAAGTAGTAGTTTCCTTCCCACACTCTTGCAATATTTTAAACAATGTTTCTAAACTCTAAACACTCCAAAAGAGCAGATAATGTCATGATTTCAGCTTCCTGCCTCATCTGCTCTTTTCCAGCAAGGATTCTTGGCCACGCCCACTTCTCCGTTCTGCACAGAGAACAGCTGATCAGCTGCAGCAGGAAGCTTATCCTGCAGTGTGGGCTGCACAAAGGTGCAGCAGGAAGCTTTTTTTGCAGCTCTGGGCTGCAGAAATGTGCAGCAGGTGCTAAATAATTTTAAACAATTCCATGCTGGTCACGCAGCTCATCCATCAATGAGCCAGTTGTGTGTCATGTCCAATCTTATTTTGAAAAACCAAGATAGAGCAAGTCCGTGATAAACGAACCACGAAGTAGCGAGAGACTACTGTATACCATCAGTTTTACATTCTTTCTAATCTGTGCAGTTATTCTTCAACCTTAAGAGCTTTGAAATGTCCAGTGACAGCAACTACAACAACAACTGGCTGATTGGAGGAAAATATTTTCTGCTAGCAGAGAAAAGTATTGAATTTTTCTTACCATCTCCCCAGGGAGGCCCAATTTTCCTGGTGGACCATCAGAACCCTGCAAAGAAAACCCACTAGTTAAACGAGCTTTCTGAAATCACCCTCGAGTTCAAACGTGTCCAACTGCCCAGAGCTACAGCACCGTTAATAATTTAAAGCTTTGATTGAAGATCCTGGTTTTAAAACATGCAGTTATGGTGCGTGTTGTAAAAATATTCTTTAGACGTTAAAAACAGTCAATAATTACAGTGCATCATCATTTCTACACAAGTTGGGTCCGTTTTTGTTTTTTTTAAATATATGAGACATTTTTAACGAGCACAGTCAGAAAATAATTCTTCCAAGTGACTTTAAAGTAACATTCCCAACATTTAGACACATCTTGAACTTGTTAGCAGTTTCCTTCTTTGACTCTATGACTGTGGGCTCACCTTGACCCCTGTAGACCCCTTCTCCCCCACGGGGCCATCAGGACCTCTTGGACCCTAAAACAAAAAGCCATTGATGACTCCTTTGTTCAACAAATCATATTTGTTCTTTAATTTTTATGAATCCCTCTATCGTTGACCCTGAGAGACTGAAGGTGGTTTCTTTAGGTCAGGGCTATTCAACTAAATTGCTCAATGAAAGCCAAGAGCTCAGGGGCCGGACATCCAGCAGTTATTCTCATTAAGTAAGTTTGTTTTATGATTTAAAATCTGTTTTTATTTTAAAATGAATTTGTTGTTGGGCCGAACTGAGCACACCCGTGGGCCTGATTTGACCCCTGGGCCACCAGTTGAATAGCCCTGCTTTAGGTTTTGTTGTGTACTTTGGTGTTTCCCCACACTGCAGAGTAATCATCGAAGACTGGAACCATTCAGCAACAACTTCACATCTACAGTTTATCTCTGCAGTGTCTCCAGTCTCCATCGTGAAGAACGCTGTCCCCACTTTTCCACAATCATAACAGTGGTTCTGCCTTCACACTGGGGTAATTGGGAAAAGAAAGCATTGTAGCTGATTCACTCTGGACTTTAAAACGGAGCCAAACTATGCATTTGAACAGCACTGGATCATTCTGTTGGATGTTCTTCAGAGCATCTTATATTTAAACAGAGGAGAATACATAAAGCCTTAAGATGTTCTTTGTGGTAATAACAGATAAACGTGTTCAAGATTGTTGCTTAAAGAACATGTTGGGTTTATTTATGAGCGACCCCCCCACTGAAGCTTTGCCCAAATGATGACAGGTACAATTGTGAACTAGAAGGTTTGAACTTGAAGCAAAAATGTAATCATTATAAAGCACTTTTCAACAAATGTTTTAAAATAACTCCATCAAAAAATAAATAAATCTTCCTGCAGAGACTTAAATATTTAGCTGAGAAAGAAGAAATCCATTGAATCTATTAAATAGTTTCTTGTCCAATACTGAGAAGTGTTAGCATATTATATGGAAATTTGCTGTTTCATAATGGAAGAGCTTACATTTTTAAATAATTGTCCAAATGAGACATTATGTAAATATTTGTTATATTGTTTTGGAGGAAATAATAGGTTGTCTGTGTAAAATAGTCATACTAAATGTTTTCTGTGCACACTTTTACTTTTCGTTCCCACAATTATGCTCTGTATTGTAGTCCCAGTAACGAAGCATATTAACTTGAAACTTGTTGATTTTCAGTCAGCAGTGGAAACGAGATAAAGTGACAACAACAGCAGACTTGCAAATAGCAGAACTGCTTCATGTGAAGCTTGAAAATAACTTGTAAATGTCGATTTGCTGAGATTAAATCAGCTTCTTAATGCAGTTTAGGTGTTTTTGTCAAAACAAAAACAAAGTTAATACCTGGATTAAAACAATAGGTAAGAACCACTCTTTGCTAAAATACTGTTGATACAATATAACACTCAAAAGACACTCAAATGCTACACTGTCATGTGTGTAAGCTTGAAGGTGTTTCTGTTTTCAGAGCTGTCTTGATTTTTTGAAATGTTGAGTCCAAGAAGCCTGACTTTCCTGTAATCTTAACGGGCTCTTAGTCAGTATTTCTGTAGGTTTTACAAAAAGTTTTTGTTAAGCCAGTTACCGCTGACCTTTGACCCATTCAACACAATAAACCTGATGAACTCGATGAACGACCGTGTTGTCAACAATGAGCAGAAAACTTAGCAAAGATACAATTTCCTTAGAAATTTTAAGCACTTCGTTACCAACAACTCATCACAGAGACACAATTAGTTGATATTTCTTTGGATAAATCTATTTAAAATACAGAAATTAACAGTTTGACAGACATCATATATATATATATAT